CATTATACCTTCTTCCTGTTAATTGCCCACCGGTTTGAGTAGATTATTTTCGAGTGTAGTTTAGTTAGTATTTTTGTCAATTTTGACTTATATGTAATTTTCTACTTATAATCGCGTCCATGTTAGGTTTCTAACTGGAACCCATTAATAAAAATAAAAAAATAAAAAATGATTAATATGGTTTATCGCGTCCATGTTAGGTTTCTAACTGGAACCCATTAATAAAAATAAAAAATGATTAATATGGTTTGCCTCATAAGTATTTATCATGAGTATTTGTTACGCAATTTTTCGGTCGTACGATTGACCGTATTTGACTTTTCTTATTAACGCTAATTATTTTTTTTATTAAAAATTATTTCTCTTATAACCATTATATATAAATTATTATATATTAATACGAAATTATATCTAAAAAAAAAAATTCATTCTATAATATGGTAAACGTAAATTTGATTTTAGATTAATTATACGTACGTAATTCTAACAATTTTACAGATGCTTTTTAATTATTCATTGATATCTTTAGAATGGAATATCCAACTTTTAATAATATTTAAATCTTGTAATGCAGATGGTTTTTTAATGGATCCACATCCCAACATTTTTTCATCAAATCTACATAACATTGTGGAGTATTTTCAATAATTTTAGGACGTTTGCCTTAACAAATATTTATAAGAAAGTTGAAGATCATGTTCTTTATCATTATTGTACATGAAAACTACGATCTTAAACATAAAAGTAATTTGTTGAACCATGACATTGTTATGCATTGTTATGCATGAATTGCGTAACTCTATAGTTACTGTATAAATAATTTTATTCCGAAATTTTTTCTTTAGCGCTTTAGAAATAATGTCTTCCCAAAATAAAAAAATTACAGATTGGACCAGTGGAAACGAGAAAGTTGATGATTTCATTCAAAAAATGCAATTAAATACTGGTCTTAATGATGTATTATTTGAATGGATACCATACAGTCAGTTTAGTGAAATTACAGAAATAGGTAAAAATGAGTCTATAACAGTATATTCTGCAGTATGGAGGGATGGTCCATTATGTAATACATCGTATAAAAGAAATTCTAATAAAGAGGTTGCTTTAAAATGTTTACATAACTCTCGAAATTTCATTGAGCTTGTAATAAATAAGGTATAAAACTTCTACTAATCTTTTTCATTTTTTTTAAATTAATATTAATTCTATATTTACATTTCAGGTTGAAAAATATCCCAGTCGGTATAGGAATTTCTGGTTTATTACAATATACGGTATATCCCAAAATCCAGATACTAATGATTATATCTTAGTCCAAAATAATTCTATAAACCTTACAAATTGGGCAAGTGAAAATGAAAAAATTGACGATTTCATTCAAGAAAGACAATTTAAAATTAGACGTAGAGATGTAGTTTTTGAATGGATTCCATATAATCAGTTTAATGAAATTAAAGAAACAGGTAAAAATAGTTCTATAACAGTATATTCAGCAATATGGAAGGATGGTCCATTATATTGGAATGAACAGATTAAAAAAAAGTATACAAGAAATTTAAATAAGGAAATTGCTTTAAAATGCTTGCATAATACACAAAATTCTGTTGAATTTGTAATGAATGAGGTACGAATTCTCCGCAAATATTTTTTATTTTCTTAATACAACATTAATTCCTTATTTGTTATATATCTTAGGTTGGAAAATATCACATAAGATATGAGTGGGGTAATTCTGATCATTCTTTTCATGTATTATACGGAATATCTCAAAATCCATATACAAATGATTATATTCTAGTCCAAAATAATTCCATAAACCTTACAAATTGGACAAGTGGAAAGGAAACAATTGATGGTTTCATTCAAGAAATGCAATTAAAGGTTAATAATCATAATGGTATAATATTCGAATGGATACCATATAATCAGTTTAATGAAATTATGGAAATAGGAAAAAATAGTTCTATAATAGCATATTCAGCAATATGGAAGGATGGTCCATTGCATTGGAATGAACAGAATAAAAAGTATACAAGAAATTCTAATAGAGAGATTGCTTTGAAATGCTTACATAACACTCAAAATCTCATTGAATTTGTAATAAATAAGGTAATAAAAGATGAAAGGCTTTCTATATTGTACGGTATATCTCAAAATCCAGATACAAATGATTATGTTTTAGCTCAAAATAATCTCGCATGGACTACTAGAAATAAAAAAATTGATGATTTTATTCAAGAAGTACAGTTGAAAATTAATGATACTAATACTATAACATTCGAATGGGTACAATATGATCAGTTTAATGAAATTGAAGAAACGGGTAGAAATGGGTCTGTAACACTATATTCTGCATTATGGAAGGATGGTCCATTATATAACATATCACTTAAGAGAGATTCTAATAAAAAGGTTGCTTTGAAATGCTTACATAATTCACAAAATCGCATTAAATTTGTAATAAATGAGGTATAAAATTTTCACAAATATTTTCATTTTTTTGGTATAGTATATTGATCTTTCATTATATTTCAGGTAAAAAAATATCAAATAGAAAATGGTTGGTATACAATATGTGGAATATCTCAAGATCCATATACAAATGATTATATTTTGGTCCAAAATAATTCTGTAAATCTTACAAATTGGATCAGTGGAAATGAAATAATTGATAATTTAATTTGGGAAATGCAACTGATGATGAAAATTAATAATCCATGGAATACAGTATTCGAATGGATACCATTTAATCAATTTATTAAAATTAAAGAAAAAGAGAAAAATCATTTTATAACAGTATATTCAGCAATATGGCAAAATGGTCCATTACATTATAATAATAATAAGGATGAATATATTCGAAATTCAAATGAAGAGGTTGCTTTGAAATGCTTGCATAACTCACAGAATTATACTGAATTTGTAATAAATGAGGTATATATTCATTTGAAATGTTTAATTTTTTCACAATTTAATTATTTTTTTTCATATTTTAGGTTAAAAGTTTTTCAAAAAAAGAATTTAGTAAGAATATCCATATAATATATGGAATATCCCAAAATCCAGATACAAATGATTATATTTTGGTTTTAAATTTTATAAATCAGACAAGTGGAAATAATAAAATTGATGATTTTGTTCAGGAAATGCAATTGAAAATTAATGATATCGTATTTGAATGGATACCATACATTCAATTTTATGAAGTTAAAGAAACAAACAAAAATAGTTTTGCAACAACATATTCTGCAATATGGAGAGAAGGTCCAATTGATAATATCTATAAGTATAAATATAGAAGAAATCCAAATAAAAATGTTTTCTTGAAACAATTACACAATTCACACAATCTTACTCAATTTGTAATAAATGAGGTATAATATTTTACAAATGTAACTTTTTGAAATATCTGATATTAATTTCTTTATTTATATTTTAGGCTAAAAAATATTCAACAAATAGTAGTAGTTTTCTTGTAATATATGGAATTTCTCAAAATCCAGATACCAAGGATTATATATTAGTTCAAAATAAACTCATTAACTTCAATAACTATATAACTGGAAGTGAAAAAATTGACAATGCAATTCAAGAAATACAATTAAAAATACTAAAATATGATGATTTAATATTTGAATGGGTACCATACAGTCAGTTTGATAAAATTAAAAAAATAGGAAAAGGTGGTTTTGCTACAATATATTCAGCAATATGGAGAGATGGTCCATTATATTTGGAAAGTCAGGGTGAAAATTATAAAAGAGATTCATTTAAAGAAGTTGCTTTAAAATGTTTAGAAAATTCACAAAATCACATTAATGAATTACTAAAAGAGGTATGTAAATTTCTCTATATTCTTAAATAAAAAAAGTGATTTAATATATAATTTTATATGGTTAATGTTTTAACAGGTTAAAGCATATTCAACTAAACCTACACATAGTAGTATTTTAAAAGTATATGGAATATCTCAAGAACCATGTACAAAAAATTATATTATTATTCTTCATTATGCAGCAGGTGGAAGTTTTGATCATTGGGTAAATATAAATGAAAATTATAAAAATTTTAATTGGAAAAAGAAAATACAAGCATTATTATATATTGCTAGTGGCCTTAGAGAACTCCATGATGAGCAAATAGTACATCGTGATCTTCATACAAGAAATATATTATTTAATAATCCTTCTATAAAGCCTTACATTAAAATATATATTTCAGATATGGGATTATGTGGAGAGGTTGGTAACCTAGATAAAACAAAATTTTATGGAGTTATTCCTTATGTGGCACCTGAAGTATTAAGAGGAAAACTCTACACCAAAGCTGCAGACATCTATAGCTTTGGTATGATTATGTATTTTGTAGCAACTGAAAGACAACCTTTTGACAATCGAGCACATGATTGTTGTCTAACATTAGACATTTATAATGGAATTAGACCAGAAATAAATGAGAAAGCAATACCAAGATGTTATATTAACTTAATGAAAAATTGTTGGGATTCAAATCCAAAAAACAGACCTGATGCAACAGTATTATCTAGAGCACTTTCATCAATTTCTATAAATAATTTATATAAGGCAGAAATTGAAGAAGCAGAAAAGCATAGGATTTTACACCTATCTTCATCGAAAGTAGATAGACAAGTAAATACTCATCCTCAGGCTATTTATACATCTCGATTACTAAATCCTTTTACGGAAAATCTTCCGAAGTATATTGATGACAATTCTGAATGCCTAGATTGTGCAATCCTAGATGAATGATTTTACAGATTTAGCTTGTATATATATATACAATATAACATTTGTAATTAAATATAGTATTTGTTCAACACTGGTTATAATAGAATATTGTAAATGTAAGTAATTTATCATAATTTCACTTATTTACATAAATAAAATCAGTTTGTAATTGAGCAAATTAATTTAAAAAATCTTAAAACTGGAAATATACAAATGAGAGATTTTTTTATTTTTAAAATAAATTTTCATATATACTTTAATTTCTCAGAGGTGATAGTAACTACGAAATTGTTAGAAAGAATTTGTAGTCTTCTATATCTTTAATAATAGCAACAAAATATATATTCAGATTCGGCAATGTTATTAAATTGAATATTATGTAATTCATGAATGTCTATGAGGAAAATGGGTGAAATTATAGTACTAGATGCTGTAGAATTCAGTTCTAACTTGTAGAATTGGCAGCCCTAGTTCGTTTAATATTCCTGAAACTAGGAGATGAACAATTGTAAGTCCGTAATCAGATCTTATGATAAATAAAATGAGTTAAGTAATGTTTTGGAATTTTTTTCTTTGTTTTTTAGGTTGAAAACATTCCACTGTTAATAAAATTTTCCGTTATATAAAATTAATTTCAAAAATAATAAATATATAAATAAATAAAAAATTTTACCTCCATAAAAAAATTCATTTATTTTTCTTCCCTAGAATAAATAATAATCATGGAAGCAATAATGGCAGTGTTTGCGGCTTCAATACATTTACCAATAGATTACCTTAAATTAGATTAATGTTTTTATTCACATTATCGGAATACATTTCATTTCAAAAGGGATATTTAGGTATAGGAGTAACAACAATATCTGGTACATTTCACACACGTGGTTGCTGTTTCCATTTTCACTATTTTTTAGAAAAATATAAAGATCTTTGTTTCACTTTGAATAATAAAATCTATCATATGTTTCCTTTTAAATGCAACAAATTCGTTGAGAATAAATTATCACATCATCTAGATTTTTAAAACAGTCTATAATTATAGTACGTTATAATATATATTTTATTAAACAAATAAATATTTTTTAATTTCTCGTACATAATCAATACGTTATGTAAAAAAGCTAGCTAAATTACTTGACCTGTTATTTATTTTTCTTAGTTTTTCTGTGGTGTTGTTTCAACTTCAGACTTAAGCCCATTTTTATGCACATCTTTATAACATATAGACTTGTTTATTGATCACTGTACTCAAAATATCTTTCTGTAATAATAAAGTGAGCGTTATAAACATCTTAATAAGGGCCTCTATAATCACACTTTGTTACCTGAGAATCCATAAGCACTTTTGTATCAATTGCAAACTATTCCATATCAATGATTGTAGAGGTATATGGATGGAAATGGTCGAACCATGTATTGTACATAAATCTGTCCATCTCAAAGGAAAACTACTATGTAAAATTAATGAAATGTAAAGTCAAGAATTTTATTATAATGTGATACTCACAGATTGAATACGAGCTTCTTTACAAAAAACAGTTTTAGGCAAGCTTGATATTATCACTAGTTTCCTTACTATCAGGTGAGTATTTCAAGCCTGAAAGAATAAAAAGAAATTAATAATATAACTCAAATTATTATAGTTTGAAATTGAAACTTACCATGTCCGTTCCAGGATGTCCTGATGCATCCAAAAGAGTCGGTTTACATTTTACAATATATATTGTTGTGTCAATCGCGAATGTTCTTTCTAGATCCCGATTCATTTGATTTGGAGTTGTTTGGAGCTTCTAAACGTACAGCACTATTCACCATTAATGTTAACAATAATTTAAAGAACCGAGCATCGTATAGTTAATAATACTTACAAATGCTTCATAATATCTTGTGCAATATCATGCCCTTCATGAAAAAAAGGGTCAAATCGTCCCACAATAAATGACTTTCGCACTAGAGTGGGGATTTGGACATGATCACATACATCATCTGTAAACTGGTCACAAAAATCATTAAACTTGGATGTTGGAATCCAGTTTTGTTTTCTTCTAATCGATATGCCATAATCGTTATTCTTAATCCAATGTCGATTGTAGTTTTTTCACACCAGCATCCGTTAAATCAATTATTTCATTATGGAAGTTTGAGTTCATGAACGTTTTGCCCAATTTAAGGTCTTTGGATTTGCATCTATGGAGTATTTCAAGTAAAGTATTTCAAAGTAAAACTTCATTGAGTTCAAAGAATTTATCTGGAAGATTGGATATCAGTGAGTATAAATATATATATAGTATGTATACATACAGAATATGAAGCAAAAGCTATAATACCTCCAGCAATTCATCTGACAAATCCGATATGTGATTATTATCCGAATCTTGGGCCTGTTCACATTACATTGTGGAGAGAGCAATTATTAATTTTGGAACCTCATCATTGTCCTAAAGGTTAAAAACAAAGAATTATGACTTTTTTAAAACCACATCAAAGAGATTAGACACAAACTAGTAACAAGATAAATTACGTCAACAATAACATTAAAAAAACGCACCATTTACTAACCCTTAAGGTCATTTTACAAAGATTGTTTAGAAGCAGCTGCCACCATCGATGTCACTAAGAATAGCCTTGCGAACCTTTGACATACACTGATTCTGCCCATCAACGTAAGTGGAAACAGTAGCCTCTCTTGCATATTGTAGAATAGAAGCAACAGAAATGAGTGTTAATTGGAAGGATTAACAATTGGAAAATTTCTAAAACTTACTCTGATTTGTCAACAATTACAAAATCCTTCACGGTTTTAACGAGTTTCTTGAAAGAAAAAAGTTAATATAATAATCACTATAATGTTAGGTAGCAACAAGCAGATATCTCAAGAATCTTAACGGTTAACCAAGGAGTTATCATTGAGAGACCAAGGCTAGCTGCCAAAAAAATACCGGCCAAAAGCCATCACCATTCGACCAAGAATAATATGGCTAGGTGAACTAACATGTATCTTTATCCATAAAACCCCAAAACATTTTATTTACGTACATTCCAGCCAGAATTCAAAAGTTGTTCTGCCAGTTGAGCTTCATTGTCTTCCATTTTTGCGCGTTGCTGAAGATCCTTCTTAATGTAGTCGAGAATGCGGGGAACGTATCATTTTGTGGCTGCGTATGACAAAATTTTCTATGCTAATGTGCTGATTTCTGAAGTATTAACTCAAGATACACATCTATCCTAATTATCTATTTTTACCCGGTCAATGATGATTTCTGCTGATTAAAACACTTGATACGCCCAAATAATTTCTTGATAGGTCCAATTAGGCCATCGTGGGATAATGATGGGTAGTTTATAGATAGAGGTGTAGGTGTAGGCAAACACAAAAAAAAAACTTTGACCTTCCCATCATCATTATCATTCCCATCTCCAATACCACTTTGAACTTTTGTTATTATCCAGTTGACTAAAATTGGAATATCAAATAAAAGAGTTAGTAATAATCGCATTGATTTTATCAAGTAGTAGGATTCAGGTCACATTTTTCGAATTTGTTTTACAAACATACCAGTTAAGACAATGCAGTACATTACACCTGATTGCATTGCATAGATGTACGTGCTTGGACAGTACTCTGGGCAACAACTTGGTTAATATCTTCTCATTACAGAAATAATTGTTTCTCCTATTTTGATCACCCAATTGATGGGGTCCCTTTCCATGACTTCCGGAAACTTCATACCGGGATAACTTTTACAGTGCCATCGAAGATGGATGCCACGCCATATATAATAGCAGAAATAAATTCACAGCCGGTGGCTTCATTTGCACTAGTGATGGGTAGGGACGCCTTATGTATTAAAAAATCCTCAATCGCACTGTTCCTGATCTCTTCTGGAGTTGCTGAACTTCCAATCTCAATACATGTTAATTGATCATAGCTATCAGCCTTCAAACTGAAAAGAATTTTCATCTTGGGAAATCATACGAAGAGAAAGGTTGTTGCGCTAAAAATTAACGGATCAGACATTTGATGGAATTAACACGTGAAATATCATTTGGTAGTAGTCCAGATAATGCTCAATAAATCATTGGCAGCAAAAAATTGAATATCCTTTCGCTCTGTCACAATCTCCACCATATCACTTTCTACAATTGCATTCTGGGAATTTGAACTTGTCAAAAATCATTTTATTAAAGTTTGAAGCTATTTATTATGCGAGATAGAAATAGTAAAGCCGCCTATTACACGACCTATTACGATATGTTCTTTTCTCAACAGTACGATGATATGCATGTTTTCGTCAGCTGGTTGAAAGTGTTTGCTAATTTTCGAAAGGGGAAGCAGCTCCATACTACTAAGAATATTAACATAAATTTTTGTATTGACGGAGATTAATTTTTCGTTTTCTTCTTAAAGGACCTTCCATAACTTGAGTTCATCGGCAGCAAAATTATCAAAATGAGGCTTTTTCTTCTCCTTGATAGACTCATTGATCTGTTAACCTTCTTGTTATTATCAATCAGTGACAATTACAACACCAAGATTTCGTTGATATAACATAAATTGTGCCGCAGCTTTATCATTAAATATTATATCTGTTATCAACTTCAAATCGTTTTCATAAGAGTTTTCACCTGCGACCAAACAATTGAGAGTGACAGGTGACATAATGCTTTTAAAGCGATAGTTGATAGTTGACAACGCTTTTATAGTAATATTAGGCTCGGATAAAAAAAATAATGTTACGTTCTGGAATCCGGAGTGAGTGAGATAAAAATTTATTTCTGGCGTTAATATATATTTTTATGTCGTACATGCATGAGCGACATTGCATCATCGCACGTGACTTTAACGAGGAATACATACTTTATTATTTATGAAACAAAAATGTTTCCGGAGAAACAACTGATACAAAATAATAGTAATGCGAAATACATTGCTATTACATGGATGCATGTGAATAAATAATTTCTAATTATCTGTAGCCCAAAATATCATATGAAATTTCGTTAGGAACTGGTGAGTGAATTGATATAAAAAAAATTTGTGCAGAAAAATTATTGTAAATAAATCAATATATCATCTATGGCAAGTAACAGATTTAGGTTTACTTTTGAATTTGAAATTCCTAAAGGTGTTATTGAATCATTTCATACACAATTTGAAAAAGTACAATATATTCTAAGAGCGACAATTAATCGTAAACTAAGAAGGAAGAAAAATTCAATTGAAGTTTTGGTTCCATTATCGAAGTGAACTATTCCAGCTTATCACATCGTAAGGTACGTATTAATTTGTCTAGCACGTGAAATTTTATCTTGATACATTACCCTATATTTTGGCAAGCATTTTTACTTCAAACCTTTTTCGATGCGAATAGTGAAGCTTTGATGAAGTCAATATTAGCGTCTCAGAAACCTGATCTACTACGTGTACGTAAAATTAGTACATGTTAAAACATTGTTCAAGATTTCATAGACGGATGACCTGAAGAACGTAAAAGAACATATTATAACTGGTAATAATGTTTTGATTACCCGTAGGTACTTACAGCAATATTTGAAGCAAATACTATGATAAGGATTCCTTCAAATGGACAGTACCTCCTACCGGTAAAACAAAGTATATGTCAATCAGAAATTGGATTCACTTTTGAATTATAGAAAGATGATAAATCGTTAAATCTGCGAGATTCTATGGATTTTTTCTGACTCCGAATTTAAATAATAATTAGAATATCCTTTTTAATATTTTAATAACGAATGAAAGAAACTAATAGAAATACGAAAAAATACAGTGTATATTAGCGGTGACCTTTTCATTTTTTGCCCTCCCGGTTTTTCCCGAGTTTTCCTCTAATTTTTAAATGATATTATATATAATTCCGCATATTTATCTCAAATATCTTATCCTAACATTATTAATTATTTTAATCAAAATCTCCAAGGAAAAAAAATTAATTGGGGTATTTATTGTAACATTCTACAATTCTTATTACAATTCGATTTTTTTTTATTAGTGTATTTCAAAAATTCATCACATATTTTTTTTTTCTTTTCCTTTTTTTTTCTTCAATAAAAAAATATATATCGTTTTTATTAAAAATAAATTGTAAAAATAAAAAAAAATGTCATATTTTTTCACTCGCGTAATCTCGTTTATTAAGACGTATGATTTATTTTTTCTTGATTATTCTTGTGTTTGTTCGTAATACATTGTGATCCGTTCCAAATCCCTTACGATATGATCGATATGATTACAATAATAATGGGCAAAAAAATAAGAAAATTTAACGCCCAAATTTGCCAAACATTTGGTTGACATATCAAATTTAATTAAGGAATATTATAAAAAAAAAATTTAATTCTTCCACATTTGGAAAATAATATGTGTAATATAAAAAAAAAATTTTTTTCGGACATTAACGAGATAATATTAAATATTATCTCTTACAATGAACTTTTTATAAATTCGTTTCTGTTGTCAGACAATAAATAAAATTAAAATGTCGTGTGACTCTTAATACCGAGAATTATTTTTGAACCAAGTTTATTAAGTACTACAAATATGTTACAGAATTCACATTAAAGTAATGTACTTAATTGAACACAAATTTTTTTAGCGGAATACGAATAACACTTGTTACACAGACGTTGCATATGGCTCTCATTCAAACATTCCGAATTTGTTATTAATAATGATGGATTTGTTATTAATAATGATGTACAAATTTATGACGTAAATAAGTTTACGTGACAATTTAAAAAGGAGAATACTTTCGTGTTGATAATTAATTTGGGTTTCAATATTTGTTTAATATATTTTAAGAACAAGAAACATATAAACTGCTTATTATTAATAAGAAAAAACTGAATGTTTAGAAAAAGAAAATATTTAACATACACATGATATACTAAATACGTCAATTTTCCCTATTAATTTAATATTACATGACAGATTAAATAACATTACTTTAAGTCCCTAAATAAAAAATAGCTTTAATATCAATAAAAGATGAGCTAGTACATAATATACTAAGTTATAATAACTGCCATAAAGTAGCCCGTTCCACAAAAAATTATACACGTTATTAGTCTTTTCTCGATATCACGTGCAATTATCATTGGTGTTATTTCTGAAAATACTTTGATATATATGGTCAACAGCGTTATTGTAATTTGAGCCAGTGTGATACATGCGAGATAAAAAGAATTTGTCCAAACGTTGATGTAATACTTATTATATACATACGTATATATTGTGTTATGCGTGAAACCTGGGATCTTAAGTATAAAATTAATTGGTTACGGTACATTACATTGTTGTGCATGAATTATCAATTACGTAACTATATAGTTACTACTGTATAAATAAATTTTTATTCGAAAATTTTTTTTGCGCTTGAAATAATGTCTTCCCAAATTAAATCAAATTATTTAAAAAATAAAATTATAGATTGGACCAGCGGAAACGAGAAAATCGATTATTTCATTCAAGAAATACAATTAAAAATCGAACTCTATGATGACATAGTATTTGAATGGATACCATACGATCATTTTAATGAAATTAAAGAGACAGGCAAAAATTGTTCTATAACAGTATATTCAGCAATATGGAAGGATGGTCCATTATATTATAATTATCGTAATGATGAATATACAAGAGATTCAAATATGGAAGTCGCTTTAAAAATTTTACATGATTCACAAAATTCCATAGAATTTGTAATAAATGAGGTATAAAATTTTAATAAATATTTTTAATTTGCAAAATATTTTTCATTTATGTATTTTATACAAATAATCGCTGTTTTCAAAATGGTGTGGCAGTTTATTTGAGATTGTATATTCGAATATCAATATTCGTCCGGGTTTCATTGTTTTATATTAAATATAACTGCATTCACCATTTTGAGCGATAAATGTTATATATTACAGGCCATATATAGTATTCTAAGTACCTTACAAAATTTAAAGGCTTTTGCTTATAACTTCTTTTTAACTTATTATATTTATCTCCTTTATTTATGTTTAGGCTAAAAAATATTCAACAAATAATGAGGCATTTCTCGTATTGCATGGAATATCTCAAAATCCAGATACAAATGATTATATTTTAGTACAAAATAATTCTATAAACATCACAAATTGGATCAGCAGTGGAAATGAAAAAATCGATGATTTCATTCAAAAAGTACAATTAAAAGTTATTGATTATAATAATACAATATTAGAATGGATACCATACAATCAATTTAATAAAATAAAACTAATAGGCAAAAATAATTTTATGACAATATATTCAGCAATATGGAAAAATGGTCCATTACACTGTAATGATTGGAATGATGAATATACACGAGATTCAAATAAGGAAGTCACTTTAAAATTTTTACATAACTTATTACAAGATCCCATTGAATCCGTAGTAATAAATGAGGTATAAAATTTTTATAGATTATTTTAATATTTTTATTAACATAGTATATTCATCATCTCTTTTGTTTATATTTAGGCTAAAAAATACCCAACAAAAAATAAGGCATTCCTCATATTGTACGGAATATCTCAAAATCCAGATACAAATGATTATATTTTAGTACAGAATAATTCTATCAACCTCTCAAATTGGATCAGCGGAAATGAAAAAATTGATTATTTAATTCAAGAAATGCAATTAAAAATTAGTGACTATGATGATACAGTATTAGAATGGATACCATACGATCAGCTTAATAGAATTGAAGAAACAGGAGAAAATAGTTTTATGACAGTATATTCAGCAATATGGAGAAATGGCCCATTACACAAAAAAGATGAGTTGAGTAAAAATTATACAAGAGATTCAAATAAAGAAGTTGCTTTAAAATGTTGGCATAACTTACAAGATCCTATTGATTTTGTAGTAAATGAGGTATAAAAGTCTACAAATATTTTATAATTCTCAAATAATATATTTATCTCTTTTTTTTGTTTATGATTAGGTTAAAAAATATTCAATAAAAAAAGAAGCATTTCTCAAATTATATGGAATATCTCTAAATCCAGATACAAATAATTATATTTTAATACAAAATAATCCTATAGCTCTCACAAATTGGATTAGCAAAAACGAAAAGATTGATTATTTTATTCAAGAAATGCATTTGAATATTAGAGATTATAATAATGCAATATTTGAATGGATACCATACAATCAGTTTAATAAAATTGAAGAAACAGGCAAAATTGGGTTTATGACAGTATATTCAGCAATATGGAAGGATGGTCCATTATATAATAGGAAGAATCAGTGGAACGAATATTATTATACAAGAGATTCAAATAAAGAAGTTGCTTTAAAATTTTTACACAATTCACAAAATTCCATAGAATTTGTAATAAACGAGGTATAACATTTTTACAGGCATTATTAATACTTTTTTTTACAGTATATTCATCCTTTTTGTTTATGTTTAGGCTAAAAAATATTCAACAAACAATAAAGCATTTCTCACATTGTACGGAATATCTCAAAATCCAAATACAAATAATTATATTTTAGTACAAGATAATTCTATAAACTTCACAAATTGGATCAGTGGGAATGAAAAAATTGATTATTTCATTCAAGAAATGCAATCAAAAGTTAGTGACTATAATAATTCATTATTAGAATGGATACCATACAATCAGCTTAATGAAATTGAAGAAACAGGCAAAAATAGATCTATGACAATATATTCAGCAATATGGAAGGATGGTCCATTATATTGGAAAAATAAATGGAGCATAGAATGTTCAAGAGATTCGAATAAAGAAGTCGCTTTAAAATGTTTGCGTAATTCACAAGATTCCATAGATTTTGTAATAAATGAGGTATAAAAATTAAATCATTTTTTTTAAAAAAAGAAAAATAAAATATATTTACTCCTCTATTATAATTTTGTAGGTAAAAAATTATTCAATGAAAAAATTTGACTATGAGGTCCTTAAAGTATATGGGATATCTCAAAATCCTGATACAAATGATTACATTTTGGTTTTTAACTGGACTAGCGGAAATAAAAAAGTTGATGATTTCATTCAAGAAATGCAATTAAAAGTTAGAGCCAATAATGATACAATATTAGAATGGATACCATACAATCAGTTTGATAAAATTGAAGAAACAGGCAAAAATAGCTTTATGACAGTATATTCAGCCATATGGAAAAAGGGTCCATTATGTTACAATGACTCGGATACAAGAGAATCAAATAAAGAAGTCGCTATAAAATGTTTGCATAACTTACAAGATCCTATTGAATTTGTAATACTAAATGAGGTATGCTAAAATATAGTATTTTTGTTTAAATAAAATAGTATAATTATTTATTTTTATTATACTTTAGGCTAAAAAATATTCAACAAAAAGTGAGGCATTTTTCATATTGTATGGAATATCTCAAAATCCAAATACAAATGATTATATTTTGATACAAAATAATTCTATAAACCTCACAAATTGGATCAGTGGAAATGAAAAAATTGATAATTTCATTCAAAGAATGCAATTAAGAATTAATGATTATGATGATACAGTATTAGAATGGATACCATATAATCAGTTTGATAAAATTGAAGAAACAGGCAAAAATAACTTTATGACAATATATTCAGCAGTATGGAAGGATGGTCCATTACATAAAATGGATTGGTGGAGTAAACATTATACAAGAGATTCAAATAAGGAGGTTGCTTTAAAATGTTTGCATGGTTTACAAGATCCTATTGAATTTATAATAAATGAGGTATAAAATTTTGCAAATATCTTAAAATTTCTCTATATTATTGTATATTTATTATCTCTTGTTTTTTGTTTATATATTTAGGCAAAAAAATATTCAACGGAAAATAAATCATTTTTCATACTGTATGGGATATCTCAAAATCCAATTACAAATGATTATATTTTAATACAAAATAAATCTATAAGCCTTGCAAATTGGATCAGCGGAAATGAAAAAATTGATTATTTAATTCAAGAAATGCAATTGGAGATTAAAGATCATAATGATACAATATTTGAATGGATACCATACAATCAGTTTAATTTAATCAACGAAATGGCCAAAAATAGGTTTGCAACAATTTTTTCAGCAATTTGGAAGGATGGTCCATTATATAGGGAGAATATATGGAGCAAAGATTATGCAAGACATTCAAATAAAGAAGTTGCTTTAAAATGTTTGCATAACTTACAAGATCCTATTGAATGTGTACTAAATGAGGTATAAAAATTTCTCCAAAAATTTAAAATTTCCCTTTAGTATAGTATATTTATTATCTCTATTACTTTTTTTAGGCTAGAAAATATTCAGCAAAAAATAATTCATTTCTTATATTATATGGAATATCTCAGAATCCAGATACAAATGATTACATTTTGGTATTAAACTGGATAAGTGGAAATGAAAAAATTGATAATTTCATTCAAAAGATGCAATTGAAAGTTAGTGACTATGATGATATCGTATTAGAATGGATACCATGCCATCAATTTAATATAATTGAAGAAACAGGTAAAAATAGATATATGACAATATATTCAGCAATTTGGAGTAATGGTCCATTATATAAGGAGAATATGTGGAGTATTGATTATTCAAGAGATTTAAATAAAGAAGTTTCTTTGAAATGTTTGCATAATTTGCAAGATCCTATTGATTTTATAATAAATGAGGTATAAAATTAAATTGGTATAGTACTTTTCTTATATATAAAATATGCTTATCTCTTTTATTATGCTTTATAGGTAAAAAAACATTCAATGAGAAAATTTGGAAAAGAGGTGCTTAAAATATATGGGATATCTCAAAACCCAGATACTAATGATTATATTTTGATTCAAAAAAATTTTGTTTGGATAAGTGGAAATGAAATAATAGATAATTTTATTCAAAAAATGCAATTAAAAATTAAGGACCATAATGATATGGTATTAGAATGGATACCATATGATCAATTTAATAAAATTGAAGAAACAGGTAAAAATAGTTTTATGACAGTATATTCAGCAATATGGAAAGATGGTCCATTACAATATCAGCATGATGATTATACAAGAGATTCAAATAAAGAAGTTGCCTTAAAATTCTTGCATAACTTACAAGATCCTATTGATTCTATAGTAAATGAGGTATAAAATTTTTGCACATATTTTTAAAATTTTATTATCATAGTTTATTTACTATCCTTTTATTTAATGTTTAGGCTAAGAAATATTCAATGAAAAATAATGAGTTTCATGTATTGTATGGAATATCCCAAAATCCAAATACAAATGATTACATTTTGGTATTTAACTGGACAAGTGGAAATGAAAAAATTGATAATTTTATTCAAGAAATGCAATTGAAAGTTAGCAACATTAATGACACAATGTTAGAATGGATATCATACAACCAATTTAATAAAGTTGAAAAAACAGGTAAAAATAGTTTTATGACAATATATTCAGCAATATGGAAGGACGGTCCATTATATCAGAAGAATAAATGGAGCATAGAATATTCAAGAGATGCAAATAAAGAAGTTACTTTAAAATGTTTGCATAACTTACAAAATCCAATTGAATTTGTAATAAATGAGGTATAAATTTTAAATCAATATAATATGCTTTTTTTTAAATGAAATATTTATTTATTCCTTTATTATACTTTAGGTAAAAAAATATTTAACAAGAAAATTTGTTAAAAAGGTTCTTAAAATATATGGAGTATCTCAAAATCCAGATACAAATGATTACATTTTGGTTTTCAATTGGACAAGCGGAAATGAAAAACTTGATGATGTCATTCAAGAAATGCAATTAAAAGTTAATGACTATAATAATGATACAATGTTAGAATGGATACCATACAATCATTTAAATAAAATTGAAGAAACAGGTAAAAATAGTTTTATGACAATATATACAGCAATATGGAAGGTTAGTCCATCAGAAAATAGACGGAAAATAGATCATTCAGTTAAAAAAGTTACCTTAAAATGTTTGCATAGTAATTTGCAAGGTTCCATTGAATTTGTAATAAATGAGGTATAAAATTTAAATCAGCATATTGTTTTTAATTAAATATAATATAAATATAATATAGTATTTATTTCTTTTATTATGTTTTAGATAAAAAAATACTCAACAAGAAAATTTGGCAATGAGGTTCTTAAAGTGTATGGGATATCTCAAAACCCAGATACGAATGATTACATTTTGGTTTTTAACTGGACAAGTGGAAATGAAAAAATTGATAATTTTATTGAAGAAATGCAATTAAAAGTTAGTGGTTATAATGATGCAATATTAGAATGGATACCATATAATCAGTTTAGTAAAATTGAAGAAATAGGTAAAAATAGTTTTATGACGGTATATACAGCAATATGGACGGATGGTCCATTAGTATATAAAGATAATAGATGGAATATAGGCTATTCAAGAGATTCAAATAAAGAAGTTACTTTAAAAAGTTTGCATAGTAACTTACAAGATCCTATTGATTTTGTAATTAATGAGGTATAAAATTTAAATTAATAGTAATCTTTTTTTAAAAAAAATTAAAATATACTTATCTTTTTTATTATACTTTATTATTTATTAGGTAAAAAAATATTCAACAAGAAAATTTGCCAAAAAAATTTTTATGGTGTATGGATTATCTCAAAATCCAGATACAAATGATTATATTTTAGTACAAAGAAATTCAAATTGGATTAATTATATCAGTGGAAATGAAATAATTGATGGTTTTATTCAAGAAATGCATTTTAAAATAAATGACTATAGTGGTATAGTAGTTGAATGGATACCCTACAATCAGTTTAATAATGTTAAGGAAATAGGTAAAGGTGGGTTTTCTACAGTATATTCAGCAAAATGGAAAAATGGTCCATTAGAATATGATGCAGATAAAAAAATATATAAAAGGGATCCAAATAGAGTAGTTGCCTTAAAATGTTTACATAATTCACAAAACATTACCAATGAATTTTTAAATGAGGTATGATTTTTTTAAAAAATTTGAAATAAAACTAATTAAAAAATATATTAACTATTGTTTATATTAATATGTTAAATAGGTTAAAGAATACTCGATAGTTAAAGGAAGTAATATTCTTAATATTTATGGAATATCTCAAAATCCTGATACAAAAGATTATATTATGGTTCTTAAATATGCAAAATATGGTAGCTTTAATAATTGGATAAATGCAAACTATGAACATTTTAATTGGCAAAATAAATTATTTACATTACTTAATATTATAAATGGTCTTAAAGAAGTTCACCAAAAACAAAGAGTTCATTGTGATTTTCATCCTGGAAATATATTATTTAGTAATCCTTCTATAGAAATATATGTTTATATTTCAGATATGGGATTATGTAAAGATGTTAGTAATGCAGATAAAACAAAAATTTATGGAGTTATGCCTTATATGGCTCCTGAAGTATTAAGAGGAAAAACTTATACTCAAGCAGCAGATATCTATAGCTTTGGTATGATTATGTATTTTGTAGCAACTGGAAAACAACCTTTTGCCAATTGTGCACATGATCATAATTTAGCATTAGATATTTGCAACAGAAATAGACCTGAAATAAACGAGCCGGAGGCACCAAAATTTTATATTGATTTAATGAAAAAATGTTGGGATTCAAACCCAAACAATAGGCCAAGTATTATTGAAGTGGAAAAATCAATATCAGTATTACTTACATCTATTTATATTGCAGAAAATAATGAAATAGAAATACAATTCAAAGAAGCAGAAGAATATAGAAAAGAAAATCTTTTATCTATTAAAAATTACCAGGAAACTACTCATCCACAAGCTATTTATACATCACGATTACTTAATCCTTTTACAAAAGATCTTAATTCTAAGTGTTTAGATTGTGGAATCTAAATTAAGTCCTAAGATATTATAATACTAACTTTATTTGATAATTTATTAATATTATGCTAGTATACAGTAATAATGGAAAAAAATAGAAAATCCATTTATGTGATCAATTTTTATTAAAATTGTTTAAAATTTAAATTTTAAGTAAATAAATACTATAAATACTATATTTGTTATATACAAAATTTTAGTATTAAATAATATTGCTATTTTTTTTTTAATTACCAATTTTATTCTCTTGCTAACTATTTACCAAATCAAAGTAGAGGATTTGTCTATATTATCCATTTCTCCTTAATAATCTTTGAGTAACTGTTTTTTCACTAAATTATTTATTACTAACCTTATTTTCTATCCTTTTACTAAGAACTAACCTTAGCCACATGATTTGCCAATTTCGCCTAAAATTAATTAATTTCGGCACAGAATTAGAACCACTTAATTTTTGCCTAAATTAATTGATGCCAAAACATTTTAATTCTGGCCAAAATTGAGATATTGATCACGTGATTTTCTTGATAATCCGAACTTTCCCTAAATCTTCTTTCTGAGAATTTCTGAAAAGGAGAAGACCTAATTTGGAAAATCATTCAGTTGTACAAATTATCGATCGTAGTACCATCATAGTACGAATTAGCAGTCTAAAATCTCAATTTTGCGATGCAATTTTCGAAAATTTTTAAAGAGAAAGTAATATTTATAAAATCACCTGAAATTAAGCACCCCTATAGTAAAAAAAGGGTGCTTAATTTCGGGATTATACGGTATACGGAATTTGTATACGGAACCTATAGAAACGTACATAAAATGTATACAAAACGTATCCTTTCCGTATACATATTTCTTATAGGGATTTATCACTACATCGCTATTTGTCTCAATAATTTTTATAACTCACAATCAACTGTAAATTTTAGTTGAATCATATATTTTTGAATGGGTCGAGAAGTACCTGAGCGCTAAAATAAACTTATTTCGGAAGATTGCGCTCAAAAATGACCTAAGAAATAATTGGAAAAAGAAAACCTGAACAGACAAGCAAATAATACTAATGAAGGTGCTTCTTTACTTGGGTGTCTAATTGTATGCAATTCATTAAACAACATAAACAGCAACTGCAACAACTGGATCAACGGACAGTGATATATATGATTTGAATGTATTCAAATAATTATCTTATAGAATAATTTAAAGTTTGATCTATTTTGAATGTTACATTTTTACATTTTTATAATTATATCAATTTTTTTTTTTATACAATAGATATAGCTTTTAAGCATGAAAGACTTAGAAATTTAATTCAAATAATAAAATTAAATCTTAATATAAAATTGAAAATTCATAATACAAAATAAAAAATTATGCAAAATAAAAAGAAGCCGAATTAGCAAAATTGAATTTCTCCCAAATAAAATGAATTTGCTCTACTGAGTCTTTATCATTTAAATATGAATCACCTGAAATACCTCATAATCTTTAATTGAAAGGCGCCTAGTTTATTTCTTAGTTTAATCTCGTATGAACCCTGCCTATTATATCCAAAATTTTCCAAAGCGAGCCTTCGAAACTTCCCAAAACGGGATGAAAAAACTTTAACTATGGCCAGCACTAGTGATGCGAAAAAAATATTATTTCATATAATTACTACTTACTGGTATGAGACTTAAAAATATTTCGCAGGTCGCAGTCTTCACTGAGCTGGTCCGCAAGAAACTTCCAGAAGGATTGCAAGGTAAGACTATTATCGATAATATTGCCAATAAACGGTCTTTCTCCTTGCGATTACTTGGGTCGCCCAAGTACAATGAAGAAACAAAAGAGCATGTTCGTGTCAAAAGAGCTTTACTACCCAATGATGGACCGTCTTTGACTTTATGATTCGCCCGCCCAATGATGAATCGACAGCATAGACAGTCCTCTTCTCATTGCTAAAGAAACGGAAGTACATTTTGCGAAAATGGAAATGATAAAACCACTCAGCTCGAATTCGAATTAGTAGAGAAATTACTCAAAGATAATAACATTGAAAGATTTAATCTGTTATTTCCGTCCCTTTAAGTGAAATAGAGTAGTTAGAGATTGGAATTGACCAAAAAAACCTTAATTGATTAATTGATTAATTTATAACAAGGTTTTTATTTTATTTATCTATCAATTTTAAGTAATTTTTTGACATTTAATGTGTCATAATCAGTGTTTCAAAATACTTAATTACAGAATTTATAAATAGTGTTAAAAAAATAAATAAATAAACTTGTGTAATACTTAATATATTGATGTGTTCACACTTGCTACTAATAAAGTAATATTCTAATTATGTAATTGAAACGTTCTCTTATACTGCTGTAGTGAACTAATAATTTTTATTTATTAAATTTAGAAAAAAAGTAAATTAATACTTTTTTTTATTTTGAATTTCTTTTTAATAAAAGAATACTTGAAAAACTTTTGGATTAAGGCGTGTCATTCTATTTCCAGCATCTGAAAATAAGCGTTCACTTCACCCATATTAAATGGCCACTTTATATAGATGTAATATAAAAAAAAGATTTATTTTAAAAAAATAATTAAAATATTCAAAATAAAAATTTATTTTTTTACACAGTCAATCTAAATATATTATTTTGAGATGATCCGTCTTAATCGATTCTTAATTATAGAGTTTCTATGCTAATGTCTGCCGGTGTTTGTTCATCTAAACTTTCTATACTAACAAAATATTCCAACATTAACTCTAATCCGATTTCGTTTATCCCAACATCGATATCCTGGATAGAATAAAATGGTTGTCAGTTATGCATAGAACACGCAGAATCAGAAATAATTAACAATACTGACCTTAGTATAACTCGTCGAAAGTTTATGTTCTCCGCCTAATAAGATCATCAAAATTTCTGAACAGAAAAATAGATATTATCTTTATAAGCTCTGAGTCACGTCCTTGCAAATTTTGCGTAATATCTTGTCCGAAACATTGAACAACTGAATGCTGGAATTATTTTATGTGACAGATAATGTGTGTATTGTGACATGTGGCTGATTCTCGATTGATAAATTTTTTTGTTCGTAATTTCATATTTGATCCTTCTGACTCAATTCGTACTAACTCACAGTTCGTAGTAATTGGTTAACAACCATTCATGGAAACAATATATACATATGAAAATGTCAAAATATGTTTCGCCTTCGCTATCTCAAGTACTTTCGCCATTCTGAGTGCAAACTAAGATTGAGGAGACGTTGTATCCATAATCTTTATACTAAAAACTTACTTTCGAACCTTGCTCTTAACTCTCGATTTTATTGCGCAGATGATTTTAAATTGTTTTATCTTAGGTGACACTCGTGGATTTCCGGTTGTTCTTGGAGAAAAAATTACCATTAAGAATGATACCATCCCTTTTGAAATTTTCAATGTTGGACTTCTCATAGACTACATCTATGAAAAGAAAAAGGATATTATTAGTAGCTCTAATATAGATGTTTGGAAGGTTGAAATCGAAGAAACCGACGAAAATAGAGAAAAACTAAAAAATACTGAAATTAATATCGGAAGAGAATTCGGAGGTAAAAGGTTGTCCACAACTAAATTGACTAGAAAAATTTTCTCAGATGGACCGCCGGATGAACGTATCCACATACTCGTCCAACCACCACCTTCGCCCGCCAACACCGGTAATGTGTCTCCCAATGGTTTACCTAATGTTAATTTTGTACTGGTTCACTAAATTTAAATCATCTTTCTTGTACAGGCCTTAAACGGACAAATTCTGATCAAAATATGAGAGCTCGTAAACTCGTGAGGACCTATGGTCCTGTGGATGTATCAGAAAATTTTTACGTTCCATTTAGGGAGCTGGATTCAACCCGTAATCTGGAGGATGTCATAAATCAAAATTTGTGCGCGCTCCTAGTTGGACATTTCCAATCAGGGAAGACATCAGTCTTGCATTATTTACGGGACACCAAAGCGAATTATTTTTATGTACATTCTTCAGTATTAACATGTGGATTTCTGCTTGGGTTGTCCGATTCACTTTCTTTAAAACAGTGTACTAGCTGTGACAGTTTATGTAAAGAAATTAAGGATAAATACAAGGAGAAGATAGTGATACTTATCGATGAATTTGATCGATTCTTATTTAATAGCAAAAAAAACAAAAACATTGAACATGCGATTGATGAAATAAGAGAACTTACTAAACTCATAAGTGATAGGTCGATTGGTATCAAGTCTATTGTTTACACTGGCACTTACTCAATTGTTGCCATGCTAAAAGAAAGTGTTCCACAAATTAGAAAAGTCATTGAAACACCATCACAAGAGAGCATTGACAGTTTATCGGAGGATGAAAGTTTATCACATGATAGTAAGTGCCTTCTAGAGCCACAACCAATTCCGTCTCCATTAAACTCAGCTAAAGCAATTCAGGCGTCTGATTTCACTAAAGATCAGCATATGTTGTTTTTTAATGATATCCAAAAAGATAGACATATTAAATTAAGTGAAGAAGTTCTAGATGATATTTATAGTATCACTAATGGCTACGCCGGTTTAGAGGGCCTTTTGGCATCGTTATGTATGGAATATTCTGCTAATGAAAAAACTCTTGAATTTGATAAGTGGAATGAACGTTTCACGGAATTTAGACGCAGCCCAACGAACTATCAGATTAAAGCGGTTAATCACATTGAAAAACACCTTTCCGGTTCTAGTGATAACGGACTTCTTGAAAGTGCAAGGAATCTCTTAGGGCGCTTTTTACGAAGAGGGACTTTACGTTCATCAGAGATCAAAGATAGTGATACAAACGCTATTATGCACCTGCAAGCGATTGGCATAATAAAGGATCTGGGTAGTGAACTTTTTGGGTTCACATCCAACATTATGCTTGATTTGTTATCAACCAAATATTATCCTCTATATAGAGAGGGCCTAGCAACAATCCCAGATATTAAAGAACCTCAACAATTCCTGAAAGATATCTTAGGACTTTTAAAATTTATTCATCACGATGTAATTTTTCATTCCTTGGCCGCCAATTTACATTCTTTCTCTGAAGCAATTATCCAAGGGGAGCTTTATGCTCTATTACGTTCAGCTGTGTCTAATAATACATATAAGGTCTTTCGTGAGACTCGAACTCTAAAAGGATCTGAGAAAAAATGCGATCTATGGGTGTGTAATGGCAAAGAATATGGTATCGAATGCATGGTTAATGGTGATTCTAAAGATGAGATCAGTAATGCAGTTAAGCAGGCCGTTGGATATACAAAAGGACGAAAAAATGCATGTTCAATGTTTGTCCTTAATTTCATGCCATCTGACAGTATTGCCAACAATTATGGATTTTTTTTCCCATCAGTAATCTATCCGGAAGGACTATACTTTGAAATGGTTCATATATTATATTCTAAAGCAGATCGAAGTGCACAAATCTTTCGCCGTTGTGCGGAAACCGAGAAAATTTCTTTTGCAGCAGAAAGATAATTTCGTATAATATCTACCATTATGTCATGATAAACACTTTTTATGTGAGCTACAATGTAGTCTTGTAATATATTTGCGATTGTAACACTGTTAAATTAACTTTCTGGTCATTTTATTTTCGGTGCAAAACATATATGAGTACATAGCAAACTGACTACCACGAGCCAAAATTTAAATTTGTATAAAATAATGAACGAATTTACGAATCTTGGGAAAATTAGCGTCATATATATTTAATTTCGTAGTGATAACATATTACTATAACTATTTTAAAACACATGCGACTCAATTTATACTTAATTTTCTGGAGTTAAATTTAAACTTTATATCATGGAGATTCTAATTTACCAACATAAATGGGTTCAGCAGTCAGGTGATGGGAGAAAATTTTTATTTGGAACTAGTGTTCGGTAAATGACAGATATACTGTATATAATTGAAATAATTTAAATTACAAATGATAAAGACCCGAGTCCCTTATCGACTCAAAAATACAATAAAAGCTTCACTTTGATTTTGTAACGTGTGTGTGCATGTTTTTTTGTATATGGTTTCGTAAATATTGCCAAGAAAAATTTTATTAATACAGACCGAAGGTTAAAAAATAAATACAATGATTCAGGACGCATCCCATTATACAGGTGTCAGAAGTACGAAATAAAATAAATACAAAGTATCGGGTCTTTGCCCGTGATACATGATTTAACGACTGACCATCGCTGAAATTTCTATTGCTAACGTCTAATCCCTAACTAACCACCTGACATTTACGTGATTTGGAAATTCGTCCCACGTTCTTTACAAAATGTCTACAAATACATTTTTATTAATGGTAAGAAACTTACAAGAAACCGCAGCACAGGATTGTGAAATAATATATACTTACGCATTATATCTATCTAGCAAGTTGGAATAACTTCTTTTTTGTGTCTGCCTGACTTGCTATCCCGAAGTCAATCAGGTACACATCGCCGTTATCATTGATTAAGATGTTTTCATCCCATCCGTAATCCGTAACACACTAATTTCGGGATATACTTGCCTTGAATGTCAGTGAGGTACTTATATCTCGACTTCTTTCTGCATTTCTTCCAGAACATACGGTGGGGCTTTCGACAAGTCTACGCTCTTCAAAGCAATCGTATCGCCACGAAACTCGCATAAAAGTGTTTTACCACTTCGTCCTTCATCTAGTAGTATGCCCTTAAACTTGAAGTCCATGAAGCTAAACTTCTACGAGGATGTTAGAAAGCTATTGTTGATTTGCAAAAGTTCCGGAAGTTGGTTGTTGGTTTAAGTTTAATGAGGAACTGGAAGATGTGATCAAAGAACACGTAAATTATTGTCCCGAACTGGCACTAGTACTTGAGGTTTAGGAGACTTGGGATTCTCTTTCGCCTGTCGAGTTAGATTGAGCACAAGAGGAGATTCGGATTGCAAAGTAAGGCTTTTTGAGATCCAGAGCTCCGTGTGTTCTCGGCGTAGAAACCAGTGACTATTATATGTGGTAAAATACCATATCTAAGTTCGTTTCCTCCCATATAATTATAGATTTGTTGAACTACGTCCTTGCCCTTACTCGTCTGATAAAACTCGGGAAATGTTTGTTCGCCCATATCCTCTAAAACATGCTTTCTTTTAGCCTCAATCACCAAGTTCAATAAACCCACGAGATGACAGTTGAAATCTGGTATGCCGGGAGTGTCAGTAGATCGCCTTAAATACACGTTGTAAGCTTATTTAGTACCAAACAAATATTAACGTGAATAGCAACATGAACATCTTTCTCAATTAACACCTCTATATCTTGGGTAATTTGCAGTCTCTCGAATCTTGGTTGTTGGTCGAAGCGAAACCTGTTCACTTGCTCAAAAAAGTCCGCCATAGAAATACATTTGTTGGTTGGTCACTATTGACCTTTGTAGTGGACTTCGATGTTAGTACACAGTCCGGAGAATATGTTATAGGTGGCGGAATACACGACAACACCCCTTGTCCCCTTCTAAGCTGAGAACGAAAAAACGTGTTAAGTGCTACGAGTGCAAATGACGAAAAATTACAGACCGTACCAAACACTTACGTGGCAACTTTACTGATAACATGAATATGCCTCTTAGGCGGTTTCTCGGCCCAGTGTTATTTCTCTTATTGCAAAGAGTTCGTCCCCGTCATTGAGTGTGAGATTCCCCAAGAGATAGTATTAATCGTCACATTCCATAACTTTAAGTCCTTCACTTTGAAACCAGCAGGAACATTTATTTTATCTTTTATAGTCTATTTGAAGTGGCCGACAAGCTGGTCCTTCTCAATATCGACAGGGAAAGCGTTCGCAAGAGTATTTTCTTTGACCAAATAGAGTAACGTGATAGTCATTTTCGTATTTTATACTGTTTTTTGCGAAATGCTATTGGCTCAAGTAAAAAAGAATTTTATTTGCGAAAAAATATTGAATGGTACTATATGTGAGAAATTTAGCCGTCACACAGACCCTGTTGTATGACGCATTTATTTTGTCGCACAGGAGTACATGCATGTGGCTCATTGAACATCCGCCGAGCTGCTCCAGACTTGCTTCGAATTCACAAAAGCTCGGGGTAATCGAACACGCCTATTACTTTATCTTCCTTTATATTCTTGACAGTAATAAAAGTGTCCACCATTCAAATTAGATATACCGCTCAATATAAGCAAAATATGGTACAATAAGTTAGACAGCCTGTGATCATTTATTTTTATTTTTTTTTTGTTTATACCTTTTAAAAAAAATTATTTATCAAATAAATAATATTTTAATAAAGAATATTAACTTTATGATCGGTACACTTCTTGTAATTGAATAATGTAGCATTTTTAAAGGTTGGAATCCAGCGTCGCCAAAGAAAAAAATTTTTTAACTAATAAAGCAATTGGTTACACTATTTTTCAGCCGAGTTGCAATATAAATTTGGTTAGCTACTTTCTAGGCAATATCACCAATTTGTATAACATCGTGACCTTAAACGGCAAGTATATTTTGATCAAACTTGTGAAATTAATATATTATGACGCAAATTTATCATACTTAGGAACATTATTCTATAACATTTTAAAAAAAAAAATTTCTGGGTAAATTAGCTCAAAAGCCATTTAAGGGATAATTAATTTGCAAAAATGATTCCCCGAAATGTATTAGTAGTTCGGAGACGGATCACGAATTAAGTTCTATTCATTTCAACCAGATAGATATTTATTATATTATTTTATTAAATCCTCCTTTTACTTTTCCAATTAAGTTTAATTACATTTAAATAGTTAAACTTGATGTTTGAATTAGGCATACAACTTTAAACATCTTATATTTTCAAATATTTTTTATACAATTTTATAAACAAGGTTACGAGGTTCATTTGTTATGTATAATGTAATATCAAAATAATTTAAGTGCTCAAATCGAACAACTTTATTTACAGTATATTTATACGAGCTATGAGTTTATCATATGTAGTTTTGAATTATATAGTAAATAAACACCTTATTAATCATCCATTAATCATGTATCGACTATCGAGAAAAATTGGAGCTTGAATAAGAATGATGTCAGTTTATCTGATACAGAAATTTGATATAATCAATCCCGATAAAATGTTTTTCATTATAATTTCTTTATTTGTCTTGTCTGTTATTGTTACGATGCGTAGTCTTCTATATCTTTAATAGTTATAATAATATTTACATCCGAAATCAATCATCTACAATAGTCGATATGGTTAATATTTATAGTATGATATTAATCTAAAAAGAACGAAAATAATAAATTAAATAACAAGTAATAAAGGATAACAATTTAAAGTTATATACTCAACTAAGTTTACATAGTTCCATCAGAGTCCGCATGTTATTTTTTTAGTTATTATCCATGACAATTTTGAGTAAATACTAATTTCACGTTAATCGTCTGATCTTTAATGACAGGTTCATAAGAAAAAATGTGATCGGAATTTTTGATATACAGTATCCAAAAAATCACTATTTTTTTTTATTTTATCATAAAAAAATCATTATACCGATTTTTAAAGAAATTTGCTTTTTTTATTAAAAAAAAAACAGCAGACCAATTTTTTAAAAAAATTTAATAAAATGATTTTTATTATATTTCATTACAATCTAAATAAGAAATCTAATTCACACTTTTTAGCGATTGCACCATAATTTTATGCCACGAGAGATATAATTATTTGGAGAAAGTTCTTGGATAATAAATCCACGATCAATACGATGAAATATGAAATAATGTTAACGGAAAAAATATATCTAAGTATAATATACTCCTTTCATTTTTTCATTTTCTTTTTCATTTTACTTTTTTAGTATTTAATCATTTTATTATTCAAAAGAAAAACTAAGCTATAGTTAAATTTATTTAGATTATAGTTTAGTAAAATTTAGTTTAATATATTTTTATATTGTATCTTATCCCTTTGATAATAAATTATAAAGATAAATTAAGAGAAAATTTTTATTGATTTATTTCATAACTTTTTTTACTGTCAATTTTTATTTTGAACTAATATCATCGTATATATTTATGCATCCAATTAGTTATCTACATATAAATATTTTTGGGTTTTATGGCTGAAGTTGACTAATTATCATGTGGCCTAAGTAAATATAATATGTAATGTACAAAATTCACAAGTAATATGTCACAAGACTCTAACGCTCACTTATAATTCTTTAATTTTTTTTTCTATTTAATTTTTCCTTAATAAAATGATCATGAACAACAATAATGTATTACACTATTACTCATGTATAATTAGACTAATTTAGGTATACAAGAACATTTGGCATTTTTGCTTCAGTATATTGTAGAGAAAAACTCTGGCATGGGTTCAATTTATAGTACACGTGTTCCAAATAGTTATGTGTCAGATTATGATATATTAGTATTAAAGTTGAACATTACCAAAAGTTTCTCATTTTACAATTTACTGTAAGAGTAAGAATTGAATTTCTTTTAA